CTTTTAGACCAATTTCAAACTGCTGCAAACCAGAACCAATCTCGGATTTCTCTGGCCAAAATTAAATTGAAAATTACATCGGGCAACCATAATGTTCTTTTTCTAGGCCAAATGAAACACTCATGGCTAGAAGGGTTTTGAACGTGCCCATGTCATCATGAAATAAATTCATGAATTAAGCGTTCTTAACCTTTTACTCAAGCTATATTCCTTCGAGTATTTTCAATTCTAAATCTCTGCTACAGAGAAACAGTCTCGATGATTTTGTTGAGATAATATGATTCGTCTTAGTGATAGCTAGTGAGTATGATTCGAATGGTTTGAAGTCTACTACAACATGTATAGCAAAATACTTACATGGTTTTAAGATTACGAAGACCCTTGAACACGTCCATAGACACCGTCACAATTTTGTTATTACTTAGATCGCTGAAGAATATAAGAGAAACGTTCTAGTCTAACATGCACAACTTTAAGAATCAGAATGGCTCACCCACCTTAAACAAAAACAAAGTAAATATTTTAGTATATTCAATTTATAAAGACATACAGCAATTCCAGGTCTCGAAGTCCGACGAAAGCCTTTGGTTGCATGATTGCGAACGCATTGTGCTGCAAGGAACTGAACAGAAATGATTTTTATGTACATGCCTGTGTATTGACTACCAAGCTGTTAACTTTCATAAGATCATCACATCATCAATAAAATTAGTCAGTTGGTTAGTCAGTTATTCATTAAAGCAGTGAGGCAGGCAGCCAGCTCACCAGTCAGTCATTCACTTCATTGATTGGTCAGTCAGTTTTCAAACAGTCAATTAGTCAGTCCGCCGGTTAATCTTTTAGCAAGCAGTCTCGGTGTCTACAAGTCAACCAAACCAGTGAGCTAGTCGGCCGTCCTTCAGCCAATCAATCAGTCAGTTAATTAGTCAGTCAGTAAACAAGACAGTCAGTAAGTCAGTCAACAACTAAAGAAAGTCACCCAGTCAGTCAGACCGCAACTCAATCAGCAAGACTGTCATTCAGCCAATGAATTAGTAAAATAGTCGTCGTTAGATCAGCTAATCACTCAGACAACTAGTCAGTTAGTCAAGGAGCAAGTCTGCTAGTCAGTCGGTTTTGGTTCATTAGTTCTGTCTATCATTACTTCCGTCCTTCTCTCTGTCTGTCTGTGTCTGTCTGACGTTCTGTCTGTCTGTCAGCCCGTTATTCAATTCGTCGGTCAATCAGTTTTTCAGTCAGTCTAAAACTTAACTGTCCAGTGACACAATCTATGGAACAACTGGTGATCCCAGCAAATTTTAAGAGCTAGTCAATCCGCTGAACTGTCTATAGCGCACAAAAACAAAGAAACTCCTTCGTCACTTTCCAGGTCTTCAGTCAGTTAGTCAGTCAATCCATAAACAAATAGAAGAGAGGAATACGTTTCCAAAGAAACTGTGGTGCTGTATCGATAGGGTCATGATAAGATAATTTGGTTTTATCAATTGAGTTATTAATGTAAATTGGCCACCGTAAAGAGCCCGCTCTGACGGACTAATGCTCGAAAGGTAAACTTTAGACACTCTTGAAGGTGGCCAATTGACTTTGTCAACTCAGCTGATAAAATCAAATAACATCAGAGGTCCGTTGGTACGTTAATCGTTCACTAAGCCAACAGAACACCAAGGCAGGCAGCCCTTCAAAGTAGAAGAAGAGACTTACAGTTGTTTAAGTTTGTTAAGCCCAAAGAAAGCACCAGGCTCAATAGTTGTAATGTTGTTGTGCTGCAAGTATCTAATAAAAAGAAATGTGAGATAGAAAAATCAAAACTTCGGCTTTTGAGAGGCCATCAAGCCAACTTGACTGAGATGAAGCAATTTAAAATGTTACATAATGAACACATCAACATCAGCGGTTAAATTGAGTTTTTAAACAATATGATACAAACTTACAATACAACCAGCTTCATCATTCCACGAAAACAAAAACGGGTCAAAATTTCCAATCCATTATGACTTAGATCTCTAAAGGCAAGGAAAGAAAAAACGATGAGAAGAAAGATGAAATATATAGTTTTGAAAGTAGAACGCAATACAACAAAGTAAAAAGAGGAAAAGAGAGAACTTGCCACCATGGTCAGAACTTGAGAAAGTAATGGGGGAAGATAAATTGCAGTCGCAGCAATTCTTATCAACATAACGTAACAGCCATAGGGGAGTGGGAGATAAAAAGGGGGTGGGGGACAGGAAGGGNACCATACAATCTGAAGTGATGACTATCTGTCATAAGCAATTAAACAATCTTCGTTTTAAATTTGTTAACCGCATCTTAGAGTCATCTTGCGTGTTGGGTTTAGTTTTAGAAAATGGTGATACATGAGTTAAAATGAGCGTCATCAAAAAAATATTATAAAAAGCTTGCAATTCAATTAATGAACGAAGTCCCCTAAAAGTCGTATTTCCCTGCAACTTTGTTATTCTATTATGACTGATAAATCTGAAAAAAAAATAACAAATAAACTAAATGGAGCATAGAAGAAGAGAAAGAAAAAGAAATTTTCTTAAACCTCAAACCTGTGAAACTCATTCACTCATTCGTTCATTCCTTGAGTCAGTCTGTCAGTCAGTCAGTTAGTCGGTCAGTCAGTCAGTCAGTCATTTGGTCAAATATTCAGTCGGTCAGTCCATCCGTCAGTCAGTCAGTCAGTCAGTCAGTCAGTCAGTAGTTAGTCCGTCCGTCTGTCTGTTAGATTGTCAGCCAGTCAGTCAGTCCGTCTGTCCGTCCGTCAGTCAGTCAGTTAGTCAGTCCCTATGTCAGATTTTCAGTAAGTCACTCCATCAATCAGTCGTCCGTCAGTCATTTCAGTCAGTGAGTCGATCAGTAAACCCTTTCAGTGTACTTTATTAGAACAAAAGTCGTTACAGATATTGTAACTGCGACAGCTGCACAAAGGCAGAGGCTTCTATCTTGGAGATAAAGTTGTCATTCAGAGACCTAAAGAAACAACAACAGAAGGAATAATTTTACATGATAGAGCAACATAATTACCAAACGCAAAACAGAGAACATCAAGTTCTCCCGTTCAAGCTAAAGGTAAAGATAGCCTAAATCAAACGACAGAAAAGAAAAAGAAGTAAGGCAGAAAAGGACGAGAAGATAAATTTCAGATTTAAAAAAGTCTTCGTTAACTTACAGCTTTTGAAGACCGCGAAGACCAAGGAAAGTTTTAAGTGATACAGTGTTATGTTATTATGCTGTAGATATCTAAAACAGAGTATTCTGTAGGTTAAAAAATTGAGATGTGGAAAAGAGAAAAATTGTACCCTAAAATATCTACAGTAACGAATTACTTACAGATCTTTTAGATTGCGGAGCCCAAGGAACGCGCTGTCGTCCAAAGTTGTGATTTTGTTATGCTGCAAATATCTATTAAAATGAAAGGAATACAAACGGCGTCTTTCAAAAATAGTGAAACTTAAATTGAATACCAATATTACTTGAATAAATTGAATACCAATATTACTTCAATCTGAGCTGGGATGAATCTAACTTTTTGTGTCAAAGTACTTTTCCTTTCAGTTATATACTATGAGCTTTGTCAAATAAAACTTAGGTTTGTAAAATAATTGAGTTTACTTCGTATAATCTGATTTTGAGATAAGCGAATTTCGACTTTGAGTTTTTTTGCAAAGTATCATTCATACATCATTCGTACATCATAAGCTCCTAAATATGTCCCCCTCCCTTTCTTCCCCGCCTAAGATTCCGTCGGGAACAAAACAGCAGTCTGAAATTTACAGAGCTCGTTCGTTGTAGCAGAAGAGATTCCACCGCTGTAACTGTTAACTCTTACACTCTTAGATCTCAGTTTCAATTCCGCTTACATTTTTCAGTATAATTTTAGCTTTGAGAATTTTGCAATATATAAAATAAAATCAGCCAGTTTATGTTTTTCCTCCTAAAGACCTTTCTGCTGACCTTTTATTGCTTCCGCAATAACAGAATGCCACCAGGCATAAGTAACCGATGCAAGTAACACCAAAAAAAAAAAAAAAAAAAAAAAAAAAAAAAAAAACGTAGACGACTTACAATATCCTCAAGGAAGGCACATTATTAAACAGTCTCTTTGGAAGTTTGGTTATCAAATTAAATGACAAATCCCTGTAAAGAGGACGGAAAGGGCGTCAGAGGCAACAGCAACAACAAAGGTCTGGGTCAGACCACTTTTCGTTTGAGTATTGTGACAGAGAAAACTTAGATAGTCACAATGGCAAATCGGAACTGCGAGAAAATAAACGTGACGCAAAGAGAACTAAATTAGCCATAGTTATGATACATAAAATACGTATTTCTTCATTGTATACAGTGGATTAGATATACTAGATAGAGCTTCCTTTATTCTCTACAGGAGATACGCTGAGGCTCGAATTACTACAATCACAACTCACGCGCCATCATACTTAACGCTTTGTTGCTGTTTTTTTCGATCATTAGTTGCTAGTTGGCAAAGAATTCAAGATTGGCGAGTTAACCTCATTTTACTCACAATAAAACAATGCCATCCAACGGCCGTAAGAACTTTTTGTTGAGAGAGGAAATTCCATTTCTTGACAGCACCCTGTGAAAGAAAGTGAAAAGGACGGTGATACGCGATGTAATGAAACTTGCACTTCTTACGGCATCAGTAATTTGTCATGACGAGCAATTATCAGAGTGTCTTAATTTAGAACTGCTTTAGTTTTGCTTCACTTCACTGTGTGATTGGTCGTGCCACCCTCTCGTGATTTGTTTACTCACGTTTCCCCGCGCTTTGAGCGTTTTGCGTGTTTTCACTTTGAGCTCTGATTGGCTGGCTCATTTGATGTTTTTCCTCTCTTTGAATAATCGTTGTGAACACTTTTCGTAAATCTTGCCCCATTTACAAGGGATATGGGGGTATTTCACCCTCACTACCAGCCCAATTGTTAATTTTTCTTATTTGTATCTTTTTGTACCCTTATGAAAACGCAGAAGAAAGCGACACACATCTCCAACTAACTCGTTTCCAATCCTATTCAAAATTTGCACAGCGCTTTAGAGGGGGAGAAAGGGGTGATGGGAGGAAAGAAGCTTTCTCCCTGCCCATCACACTTCGCGCTCCCATCTTTCCCGCATCGGTTTCCTGCGCTAGAGCATGACTGGAGACAAGTCAGTTTCTTTTAGCGACGTCAGACCGCTGGTAACTTTTAGATTCGATTACAGTCGTGAAAATGTGAAATACGGTGATGTTGGTTCTTTTTTTTTTTTCAACCAGGCCTCAGATACGCTGAGTATATTAGAATATTACACACTAGTTGTTTCTATGATTTAAAAGGAAAACACATTAAATCCTCTTTCACAAGCTATTCGTGGGATATATTCTTGTTGTTATCTTTAAGCAAGATACGTTCACACTCGCTATGATCGAAAATACGATAAAAAGGAAAAAAATTGAAAACTAGGAAACTCAAACAAAAAGGTTAAAATCCGCCTCCAATCTTGAAAAATTGATTTCGTCTAAAAAACCAACATATCAAATACTGTGATTCCAAAGATTATCCTGAACCTATAATCCTCAGAGCTCAGCCATCTGTTGTCGAGGCTGTTTTTCATTCAAGAAAAAAAACTGAAAATCTTGAAGAATATGAAGGCCATGTAAAGATAAATCAATTAGCTATTTTGGGTTCAGTTTCTTACATCGTTTGCAGTGTGTAAGAAAAAAAGAAAGAATTTGAAACCTTTTTTAGCTGAGATTTCAGACAAAATGGAGTTGAATAGATTGCCATTAAACTTGATTATGAATGTACAAAATTTCCAACAACATTTGTTGTAAGCTTGACGTTTTCAGAAAAACAGATTGTTATAAAAATGTTTTTGGTTGAGATATGTATTTGATATTGTGCCCTAAGAACATAGTTAAGCTGATTTCAATGAGGTTTCTAGTCCCTGTTAGAAACAGACTCGATGTCCGGCCTCAACAATTGAAGTGTGCCCAGCTGTTTTCGCTGGAGGAAAAATGGTTTCGCTCATTATTTTTTCAATAATTTCCCTGAAAATATCTGCGGAATAACATCCAACGCAGGTGGGATATTTAGCCGTCTAATGCCTGGAAGCAGGCCGTCTTTTCTACAAACACTGTCGTTAACTAACTTAATTTAATTTATCTCTACGGACAGGTCTATTCGCTGCGAAATTACCAGCTAAAGTCAATAAAGAGTGTCCTCTTAAAGCGAATAGCAAATTAAATGACAGACGGTAACAAAGTCTTGTTTGTGCTCGGCCAGTTCTACTGTAAAAAACCAACTGAAATATATTCACTTACAGGGAGCAGATGTTGACCCGTGAAGGAATAACAATTTCTCGGAGGCGCGTTGCGTTGCAAGTCGCTTCAGTCAGGTTTTGAAGTCCTCTTAAAGGACAAACTGAACATTTACAATTGTCACTGCATGGTGTAGANACAATAATGAAACAATGAAATTTCCAAATTACATTGAACTTTTAAGACGGATAATTCTATCAATACAGTAAAATATTAGCTTCCAATTACATTTTCTGAATTTTTCTCAATCATTAGTGTTCTTTCATTCCAAGAGGCAGAAACAACGGTTAGCGATACTTACGTGTGTGAGAAGAACTTGTTTGTTTATCCGCGTATAAACGAAAATTAACTAATTTTATAAACCCTCGAAAGCCGACTTCATCATCACGTTTTCCTCGACTGATAAAGTTAAAGAGAAAAATAACCGGGTTTTGATGACACTAAAACATTGCGACCAAGGTGGCCATGCTTCATCTTTCTAAGTTTTTCAGGCGGACGGAGTAAAATTTGAGGAGTGAGACTTGTGCAAGCGGAAGGACACCTCCTCTCGCGCGCTTCTCGCACTATCCTTGCACTCTCCTCGGGCTTTCCTCGCGCCCTCTTCGTGCACGAGAGCTGATCCCTGGGAGGAGTGGGGATTACGAGTCAAATCGTTCAATTTTATCTCGTCATAGTCTTCTTGCGTGGAGGCGCGGTGGCCTAATTATAATGGTTAGTGCTCTCGAGTGGTCCGGGTTCGAGCCCCGGCCAGGACATTGTGTTGTGTTCTTAGGCAAGACACTTTACTCTCACAGTGTCTCTCTTCACCCAGGTGTATAAATGGATACCGGCAATTTAATGCTGGGGGTAACCCTGCGATGAACTAGCATCCCATCCAGGGGGGAGTAGAAATACTCCTAGTCGCTTCATGCTACATAAACCTGAGTTAAGCACCGGCCTAATGGGCCACTAGGCTCGTAAACAAACGTTACTATAGTCTTCTTGCGATCTAAAGCCCAGAGTTAGTTTGGCTCCTCGTCAGTGGTAAATAATGACATTAGTTGGGGACGATACCGCTGACAAGGAGCCAAAATGACCCTGTGCTCGAGATTGTGGGTTTACCTATGCAAGGAACAAGATATTTTTGACCAATCAGGACGCTTGTAGTATCTCCGTTATTTTATAATCATTATTATATAATTCTTGCGAATGGTGACGTCGATAAACTTCACAACAGTGTTATTACTGATATATAGCTCTAGTATACGCGCAACTTCAACAGTTTGCTCAGTAACAGTAAAACGTTTCTTTCTTTTTTCTTTTCATCAATTGACACCTGGTTTGAGTTTCGGTCACAAAAAATCTTAGCACGTTTCATCGTTAATCCGTGATTATGATCTTTAATCTTAACTAATCCTTTTCGTTAATTTTTTTTTTCATTGCGCAATTATACTGCCTTGAAGGTGATTTGTGGGGTGTTTACGCGTTGGCTATTCAGGGACATTTACCTCTTTTTTTAATCTTGTCCATTAAAACCGTCTGTAGTGTTTACAATACCAATATCAACAGTGAAAAATTTACATGTGCGAGGCATCACAATGATTTTTTTTTAGGAGGGGAGCGCACTCTTTTACTTAAAAGATTGGCTTGGGATTAAAGAAAACCGCGATCGAAAAAAAAAAAAAATGTCGACAACTAGGACGTGTTTTATGGAGGTTTCTCTCGCGTGCGTTTGGTGTATGACATAAGCATAAACACTGTCGCTCATCAGCCTCGATTTCGTGTAGCACGTTGTTGTTGACTTATTCAGTGGGCAAAAATAAATTTGTTTAGTCAATCCGACGCCACTGACGCTACAATACGAATCAACAATCATGTATGAAAAGCGATAGAAAAATATAAGTGATCTTCTTGCTTTAGTATAAATCTACGACTTTGGTTGCTCGGCAAACGTATGTTTTTTTTTTACTTCGATAACGCTAACTTAAGAAGACACGTCAAAAACGTCAGGAAATTTTACTTGACTTAGTTGATGTCTGCTCGGCCACAACGAAACTAGATCTCAAAATTAAGCACGCCACCGGTGCACGAACTCTGACTTTTCATTGATCTTCTGGCAGAATAAAGCCCGCCAAACAGGCGCTATTTTGATTTTGCCGGATATTAATAAATCGTAAACGATTCGTAATAATTATTTTTTGATGTCCACATCTTCAATGATAAGGTAAAGAAAGCCTTTTAAAACATCTGTAAAGTCTGACACTTAATTTAACGAAATTTCCCAC